CGTGTCTCGCTGTCGCCTTGGAAACAAATAATATTTTTGGCCAGTATACTACAATTTATTAAAAACAAGAAGTAACACACGTTTTCTTTGTAAAGTATAACTTTGTTTAAACGGCTTGACTACCAGACGTTGCTTCGTTTCGATCTAATCCAAAATTGACGAGTATTTCTTTAAATTTTGCCCTATCGAAAGCGAAAAGTCAACGTTATTATCGTTCTCTTTATTTGTCTTCGCCAGAAATAGTAAATCGTTGTAAGGCGAAACAAGCGACAGCTCTAAAATATTGTAAAAGCGAGCAAATAAAGGCGACAATGGTAAAACGTATATACGCCAAAATTTTGTACGAAGCGTACCGGATTGGCCGCTTACACTGCTTCAGCACATACCGGATTACTTTTCATATCACCTCCAAACGGAGTGACCTGAGAAAACCCGGACTTGACTTTTGAACAACACGATCTCTTCTCTAAATTAACTGGAACCAAATCATTCAGTCACTTAATTAATTAAAAATAGGTACGCACTGCGTACATGTGGCTAGCCTATTCAGCCTGTCGAATACAGCTGGAGCTCACATTGTCATAAACATTCATCACAAACATTCATTGTGATACAAAATTAATAATACAAAATAAAACAGATGCAGTATCTTTCTTACAATGCCAATAAATGGCTACAATTACTCGATTTGAAAGCAATGGCTTGTAGCAATGGTGTAGCCAACAATATTATCGAGTCACACTTTAATAACAAGCATATATTCAGCAACTAATGTATTGATGTCACTTTTATTGTTTTTCAAAATTTCACTAATATGTAATTCACTAAGATTTCATTACCTGTACATAGGTTTCTTGTTATATAAATATATTCTGGTGTCTGGTTTACAAGTTATTAGCTTTTCTTGATTTGCTGGCATCGCAGATTTCATAAACCTTTAACACAATCATTAAGCTGCAGAGCTTTCCCACTGACAAGTAAAATTGTTTGGAGTTAAACAAGTAAAAATGTAGGGCGCAATGGGTTAAATTCAAAGTTCTTCATTAATATAATATTTAATACTAGATTTCTAAACATTTTAATTTATTTATTGTAAGATCTAAAAGCATCGTAATTTATAATGAACTCATCCAATCAATTATGTTATCACCACTAAAGCTTTTGTCTGATAGTTGTATTGCCCTGATACTTGCATATTCTGATCTTCCTATATTATCCAATATTATCACCAGTCACCATATTATCAGCAAATTGTCCAGAATATGTGTTGACATGGTTGTTTGAAGTACTGTAGCTAGATGTCAGTCATGCATCACTATGATTTTGAATTGTACTTTTATCTGCAAATGAAATATTGTAAAAGATGCAGGTATAAATTTAAACAACATTTAACTCTAGCTATAAAAGTATGAACATGCTACTCAATTGACACTGAGCACTCATACTTTTGTATGAACATGCAGAAAGAAAATGTTTACATTTTCCAGAAAATGTTTACATTTTCCGCAGAAAATGTTTACATTTTTGAAGCTCCGCTACTGCATTTCTGGTGTTTTCTAAAGCACATTTGCAAACAAAGTGGATTTAAATTGACTGTGTCAAAAATGGCTATTATTTCACAAAAATAACAACTTTATTATACAAATTTTACCTACTTGAATTTTAACTGAGTTTCACAGTGGGGTTTACACCCCCAAACCCTTTGTCGATCACTACGTCCCTGCTGATCTTAGATTCCTGGTTAGGTCTTATGAATGTAAATACATTTTCACTCAATTATTTCCATCTACAAGATCCTTCAACTGTACGTAAACAGACTGAGCTTTCATTGCACAAACCGGCATCTCAATAATAGCACCTAGTATTAATTTGCAGTCAGTGTAATGCCAGTGACCATAAAAGACTATAGTAATATAAAATAGTCCAGCCTGTTTTCTGTGTTAATTGTAGTTTTATACCTGCAAGTGGATAGGGGAGTTGTAGTATATATGCCAGCAATGGGCTTGCTTCTTATAAATTTACCCACATAATGACATATTAAAATTCAAGATCTGTGCAAGCACGTTTGATTATAAAACAGTATTAGGCCTATAAACTCACTATAAAGCTTTATATGAAGCGTGATCAAAATCTCTTTGACCAGAATCAAAGTCCAGAGCAGATATGAATAGCAATGACAATGTCAACAATGTTTTAATATACTATAAAATGACAGATTCACAAATTTTAAATATCGATTGAAATAACAAAAATTAACTTAGTACCGTTTGCTGTGAAAAATTCCTTCGAGCATTTCTTCCCGTGTTGCCAACTATAATTTTGCTAAGTGAGGCATCTGCCAGTATTATAAAATCGTTAAATACCTTTTCTGTGGGATTTAATATCATATACTTCACTGTGTTATTACATACTATGGTTATTTATAATATCGTCGCCTCATGCCACTGAACGACAGTTTCCGAAGTAAAGTCGACAATCTCCGTCACAACTTCACATATATATCTTACAAACATTTTTAGCGTTACATTGTGGCTAGCCCGCGAACGGGGCAATAAGATAGATGAAGCAATTTTCATTGCCTATACCCTTTAAGACAGCACCTAGGCCAGTGTCACCAGCATTACATTCAATAGTAACTTCCTTGCTGACATCGTAGTATCTCACGACCGGCGCCGCGCTTTGGCTAGAGACTTCAATTCTTGACAGTGTCAAGCGCTCGCTGGTGTTGTTCGAACCAACACCACTCTACATCCTTATCTTCGAGCCTTCTCAGCGGTTCGGTCATGTCCAACAATAAAGGTAAAAATTTTGCCAAATAGTTTACCATCCCAAGAAATCTTTTGAGGCCTTTTGTTTCAGTTGGGGCAGGCATGTCTAAAATTGCTTCGACTTTTGCTGGGTCAGCTTTGAGGCCATCAGCGGTAATGAGGTGCCCTATGAAGCGGACTTCTGTCTGTGATCGCTTCAACTTCGATTTATTCAACTTGAAGTTGCCCGCTCATTCGTTTCCAAGCTTCGATCGACCTCCTCTCCTGTTTCTGCTATGACTTCAACTCCATTGAGATCTTGAGCAAATTAAACTCATGCATTTGCCTTTGCCAAACTTCGGGTGCACTCGATATTCCGAACATGAAGCCGTATCAAGTTTGATTTGGTAAAATCTGTCCTTAGCATCGCAGAGTGTGACTTTCTTCTAAGCTCCCCTTAAATTCTCCCTAAACCCCCGCTATGCTCCCCCTAGTCCCTATGGTTTGATGAAACTAATTATGAGGTATATCGGACATACTATTTTTCCAGCATGAGCTCCACCTTTGAATTTACTCTATGAATAAATTCTTAAATACGTTCGAATTTATCATTATGATAAATTCGCGGCATATTTTGAATTTATCTCTATTGATAAATTCAAACCGTGCCGCGAATTTATCATAATGATAAATTCGGACGTTTTTAAGAATTTACTCATATAGTAAATTCAAAGGTGGAGCTCATGTTGTATTTTCCACTAATTGAGTTGAAAATTTCCAATCTTTTTCGAAGTGCATTTACCAAAACTCTCCTAGCAGATTTTGGTCCGCTTGTATTCCATATTTCAGACTCGCTTTAAAATATACACACGATTTCGTCATCTAAAACACTAGCTTTTACTGTTTGAAGTAAGGTAACGGCATATTTAAGGATTAGTAAATTTGCACCATTACAAAACCAAATGAAATGTGTATCTTGTGCATTGTCTGCTATACTTCAAGTATATGATAAGCCACAATCTCGAACTGTCTGTGCCAGTGCTGGTAACGCCGATAACGGACAGCTGTTGTAATGACAAATATACGTGAGAAAAGTATGATCACAACCTCGACGTTTCGAGCGAAGGCCCTTTGTCGGGAAGTGATAGCCTTTGCTTGAAACGTCAAAGTTCTGTTATTATAATTTTCAGGTAGTTGTATCTTTCTCTCACACCGCAGCCGTCCGTGATAAGCCACGCTTGTATTTGTCGAGGGCCACGCCTATTTAGTCGGCAAAATCGATATGCCTCACCTCTCTCCCCCTCTCAAAAGGTCCAAGCTACGGCACTGATTGCTATATCTAGACTACAGATATGTGACGAAATTGGTACAATTGCATGCAAAGTATTACTCTGACATCATATTTCCACACGTATTCTGGCGTGTTAAAATTACTGCTGACGCCATTATTCCTCTTCGTTTATTTTATGGCGAAATTTCAAATGCAACAACTTTAATTTACGTGTGCTTATTCGATTACCTACACCAGAATAGAATCGTAGACAAAAAAACGCAGCGTGTAAACGTTTTTAAAGGCACAGTGTCACCTGCTGAGCGATGTGACTTAGTCAGCGCGAAACTTTGAAAATGTTCGTGAACTTTCTCAAAGTTTCACACTTGTGCGAAAGAAGTGGCGATATTGTTGCTCAATATATGCCTCATTATGTTATAAAGGTGGGCATAATTTACACCGAGTGTTCAATACAGATTTATCAAAATAGCTTGAATTTACGTCTCTCAACATGATAAATAATATAAAATTACAGTACTGTCATTTTGTCGCAATGGCGTAATACCACATCGCTCAGGAGGTGACACTGAGCCATTAAACGTTCTGACCGTTTATACGAGTCGTTCGCGACTTAATTAAGGCTTATTTTTACTCGAAAAATGGTCCCGTTCCAATAAAAAGTTGACTACTTTATATACAACCTGCCCTAGTTTCATCGTTTAAGACGAAATTACAATTAAGCCTGTGTTATTATTTTACTTAGAAGCAGGAAAAGCGCGTGGGAGGTGATATTTTGAAAAATAGTTTGAACATTTATTTTGAAAAAGATCGCCAAAAGCAAAAAAATTTGCTGCGAAATTTTGTTATTTACAACGAAAGGATAAGCAAATGAAAAGGTTCCAGAATCTAATTACTGTACCTCTAAATATAGGGTCGCTGAAAAGGGTGATCAAACTGAATTGAGGAAGGACTCGCTTTTTAAAATGGACCAACCAGATTCAAAACATGCAAAGAAACAAGGAGAAGAATTGGAAGAAGCATTTGCACACCTTTCCTTAGGACAGTCTTACAGAATGAAGAATCAGTTTCAAACGGCAATTAAATCCTATGTGAAAGCTTTGGAAATTGCAAAGGAGCATGAATATAAGCAATACGAAATAGCGGCATTATTTGAGTTAGGACATGCACATAGATTGGACAATAAGTTTCAAACGGCAATTGACTACTATGCGAAAGCTTTGGAAATTGCAAAGGAGTGTAAAGAAAAACGAAAGGAAACAAAGGCATTAGTTGAGTTAGGCGGAGCTTATAGATTGAACAATCAGTTTCAAGCGGCCATTGGACACTATAAAAAAGCTTTGGAGATTGCAAGGGAGCACGAATATAAACAACTGGAAACAGAATCATTAGTTGGGTTAGGAGATGCTTATAAATCGAACAATCAGTTTCAACCGGCCATTGGACAATATGAGAAAGTTTTGGAACTTTCAAAGGAGCATGAATGTAAACCGCAAGAAACACAGGCATTATTTGGATTAGGAGATGCATATGGATCGATCAAACAGTATCAAACGGCAATTGAATACTATAAGAAAGCTTTGGACATTGCCAGAAGAATAAAACATACAGAAGCCGAACGAAAAGCATTACTTTGCTTAGGAAACTATTATAAATTGAGCAATCAGTTTCAAAATGCTATTCAGTGCATTGAAGAATCCTTACAAATTGGAAAAGGACCAGCAGATAGAAATCAGGAAACGATGGCAACAAATTCAATGAAAGGCTCGTCAGTAATAATCGGTACGCATTTAGTAAGCTTGTCGCTGCTTTTAAAACGTCTCTTTTAAATTAACTCTCCCTTGAAGGCTCAATTTGTGTAAGATTATTTATATCAGTGACTTTGTAGGTATTGTTATTGATGAAATACTCTCCAATGCGCAGTCATTAGTTGGATCTTGAGAACTCCCATCGTTGAGCGACATATTAAGCTACCCATGCATCAACAGTTTAGATGAAATATATTGAAAGTGTGATAACCAAAAAGTTTATTTTTGTCAAGAACATTTCATAGGTTTTAATTTTATACTCAGTGAATTATGTCCCACTAAT